GAAGGACAGAGTGGAGCGTCTTGTTCGCTCCGGGGGTCACCAGCCACGCCTGGTGATCCATGTGGGCACAAACGATGTGGCCAGGCAGGGTGTGGTTGGGACCACCAGGGACTTTGAGGCCTTGGGGAAGAAACTCAGGGAGCTGAAGGCCCAAGTGGCCTTCTTGTCAATCTTACCTGTCTGGGGATTTGGGTCAGGAAGGGACAGGAGGGCCTCCGAGGTGAACGACTGGCTTAGGGTGTGGTGCCAGAAGGAATGCTTCGGGTTCCTCGACCACAGCACTTGTTTTCTTGCCAATGGACTTCTGGCAAGGGACGGGTTGCACCTCACGAGGATGGGGAAAAGGTCTTTGGAGATGCTCTAGCGAGCTTCGTCCGGAAGACTTGAAACTGAGCTGGGGGGGGTGGGTTCAGGCCCCCCAGTAACGTGTCTGCACTGGACAAGTGTGGGGGGAGGATCAGGGCTCTGGGAGCAGGGTTTTAGAGATACTGCAGGGACTGACAGGACTCCTACAGAGAGGGGCCAGGTATCAGGGAGGATGGGAGGAAGGAGGAGGCTGGGAAGCGGTGGGAAGGAGTTGAGGTGCATGTACACCAATGCTAGGAGCATGGGTAATAAGCAGGAAGAGCTTGAAGCTCTCCTGGGAATAGGAGGGTATGATCTGGTGGGAATCACAGAAACTTGGTGGGATGAAAGGGAAGTCTGGAATGTGAACATAGAAGGGTATCACTTTTTTAGAAAGGACAGAAAGGGAAAGAGAGGTGGGGGCATGGCTTTATACATCAGGGAAGGGATAGGATGCAGTGAGATAGAATGCAGCACAGATGGGGATTCAGTAGAGGCAGTCTGGGTGAAACTTAGGGGTTTTGACATGGAAAGAGACCTGACAGTGGGGGTATGTTATAGCCCTCCAGGTCAACTTGAGACCCTGGATGATGTCCTGACAGATCAGATTCTAAGGATATCTCAGGGGAGAGACACAGTAATTATGGGAGACCTGGGAGAATTATGGGAGAATTAATCTCAGGGGAGATTAATTATTTCAATCTCCCGGATATTACTTGGGAGACTCACTCGGCGGTGACAGCCAGGTCACGTCGCTTCCTAGAAGCTATTGAGGGAGCGTTTTTCACACAGAGGCGACGGTGGGGGGGGGGGGGGGGGGGGGAATCCTTGACTTGGTATTGACCAATAGGGAGGAGCTGATAGATGAAGTACAGATTAGGGGAGCTCTGGATGCGAGTGATCACTCCATCCTTTGCTTTGAGATCAGGGGACTGGGGACGTGCAACAGGTCGAGCACGAGAAGCTGGGACTTCAAGAGGGCCAACCTCGGCCAACTGAAGGCCAGACTGGGGAAAGTCTCCTGGGATAGGTTACTGGAAGGTAAGCGAGTTGAGGAGGGGTGGATAGCACTCAAAAGGGAGGTTTTGGAGGTGCAAGCCTTGACAATACCTCTAGTCAGTAAGGTGGGGAGGTGGAGGAGAGTGCCGCCATGGATGCAAAAGGAGGTGGTTAGAGGGATTAGACGAAAGAGGAAGCTCCGTAGGAAATGGGTACTGGGCGAAATAGACAAAAGGGTATATCGAGAGGAGGAGGCCCGTTGCAGAAGGATTCTTCGCAAGGCTAAGGACTTCCCAAGAATATCAAGAGCAATAAAAAGGGCTTCTTTCAGCATGTAAATAGGAAAAGGAAGGGGAGACAAGTGGTGGGAACACTAAATAAGGAGGAAGGAGATCCAGTGACTGATATGAGGGAACAAGCACAGATGCTAAATGACTATTTTGCCTCTGTGTTCTCCTGAAAGCAGGACGGGGGATATCCATATAGGAGATTAGATGAGGCTGGGGACTTAGGGGCACAGATTAGAGTCACCCCCCTTGAAGTCTCCTGGCTCCAGATTGGTGCCAGGAGAAGGAGGAGGCCCTGCTGGCTTCCTCCTCCTTTGGGTGACATGCCTCCATGCCTCCGCCGCTGCTCCTCCCGTGGCCTCTCCCTCAACCCTCCGTCCAGAGTGGGGCTGCTCTGGGGGGGCCTGGAGAGCTCTCAGCCCTCAGGCACCTCACCTCTTCTTCTAGCAGGGTCACCATCTTGCACCGAGGGCAAGTGTATCCCTGCCTCTCCTGAGGGAGAAGGGCGAACATGTTGCAGCTGTCGCAGCAAACAGCAACCCCCGTGACTCCCGCCAAGGCCATCTCCTGGTCTGCCATGGGTATCCCTTCCAAGACCTTACCTTGGTCCCCTGCCTTGTTTGTGCTGCAGTTCCTCTCACTTGCCCAGTTATCCCAGACGAAAACCCACTCGCGCGCACACACACAAGGATAAAATAAACTTAAATTTAAATTGGAAGAAAAACAAAGCACAGCACAGCACAAACCAACCAAACCAAACAAACAAACAATCAAACCCCTGAGTCTCAGGGAAGGGAGTCTCCGGACAGCCCGGGCCGCAGCCAAGGGACGCAGACAAGGGACGACGCCCCACCCCTCTGCTTCCTCCTGGCCCCTCTAGCCTTCTGGCCCTGCCCCCTTCCTCTCCGCTGCTCCTGGCCCTCTGCTCCCCTGCCCAGCTCTTACCTTGCCTTTGCCAGTTCCCTGGCCTCTCAGCGCTCTCTCCCAGCCTGTGCCTCTGCTGCTCTGCTGCTCTGCCAAGAGGCCAGAGCCAAAAGGGCTTGCAGTGGCTGAGCGTGGCCTTATCAGTCCCTCAGGCCAGTGGCCCTGCCTGTCCGCTTCCTCCTGGCCCCTCTAGCCTCTCTGGCCCCGCCCCCTTCCTCTCCGCTGTTCCTGGCCCTCTGCTCCCCTGCCCAGCTCCTACCTTGCCTTTGCCAGTTCCCTGGCCTCTCAGCGCTCTCTCCCTGCCTGTGCCTCTGCTGCTCTGCCAAGAAGCCATAAAGTGTGCAGTTTAAAAATCTCCATTAAAGTATAACTCACAGACCATATCATTATCAAGTTTGATTAATTTTGTTGCAACCTACTTAATCTCTTTGGGCTACTTGCACATGGTAAATTTCTTCCTTTCAAAACACATGGTGAAAATTTCCAGGCTTCGTTGCTTACTCCCAGTATTATCAATTATCCTAACACAAGTACCACTGAATAAGTGAAAGATTTTTTAGTCTCCACTGGATCAAATATAATGACTATTTTATGTGCAATAGTATGATCAGAAGAACTTTTCTAATGTAACAAAATTCCTTTGTCATATATATATTATAGTCATGTCTCTGCTTTGCACTCTGTATTTCCTCCTCTTTTTTGGTGGAAGTACAATGCAGATGTATGGAATGATGGCTGTGCTCTTTTCAAAAAGAACTGTTCTGTAATTTGAGTTTGTGAATCACATTTATTAAGGAAACCATATTAAGTGTTCACTTTTTTTTAAACCAAACTTATTTTTCCCCACGAAGGAACAACTTATACCCACTAATTCTGATTTTCTATTTCATGCTCTGGCTAGGCAGCTCAGGTTCAAGTAAACCTTCCATGTTTTGGAGTCAGCTCAACATAGCTGGCCCCTGCAACTTTTTTGGGGGTCACTGGGAACATTTGGAAATTTGAGACACTTTAACAAAAATGGTTCCGCTGAGTAACCTGCACAGTCTTAAAATAGCTGCTGGAGATGCGTACACATTGTAAAATCTGTTCAGATTACATTTCACAGATTGTCAGGTGACTTCCATTCCATCATCTGCTATTTAATGTTTGTTTGCAGATATATTTACATGCAGAAATGTGCAAATCCCTCCAACACACAAACACAGATCCCCCAAAATGCATATTTTATGCTTTAGCCTATGTAGGAAAGGAATATTTTGGGTTGGTGTTTCTTTATTTTCAATATTTTTCTATGACTAAAAGTGTATACATTTAGGGGCAATAAAAAGAGTAGTGGTTTGCAAGTCTGTGGGATTCACATGACATGGGAAACGCTCTGAAATCTGTGAGTCAGAGTGTAAGAAATTCAAACTCTATTAAGCCTTCCGGAGACAACAGTGATGGATGTCTAGAAATCTCATAAATAAATAAATAAAATGAAAATAAATAAAACTCACCTGATTTTTTAGACAGTCCTATTGAGAGTCATAGCATGACTGGTTTGTCAAAAAGGTGCATTTCCCCAAAAACAAAATGGTGAAACTGAAAGTAAAGGGACCTGTCCAAGAAAATAAGTCATGTTTCTTAAGAGTATATATTGTATGGCCATTCAGTCAAGCTTTTCCAGCAGTGCCGCCATGGCAAATATAAAACATATTCTTTCCCCTGTGTGGGAAGGGCCACAGGACAGAGGTAGGGCATACACTTCCTATCCAAGCAGTCCTGAGTTCAATCATTGGCATCTCCAGGTAGGCCTGAGAAAATCTGTTGGGCTGGATGGGCCAACAGTCTGACTGGGTTATAAGGGAACTTCCTTTGCTCCTATTTTGTTATTTATTTATTTAGGATATGGCGCTGGAACAATTAGCCAGTCTACAATGCCAATATAGAGTAGATGTTTGGCTGCCTACAACTGATAGTTCATTCTGTTTGTGCTCACACGCTTATCCAGTGAGCACCGCAGGAAGCAAACTAGCTCCACGCACACTTTGTTCCTAAGTTTGCTCAAGATATAATGTGTAACCCAAAATCCTTGGAAAGCATTTTGCTGAGATACCAATTTCTTTCTTGGAGGCCTTTAAGCAGAGGCTGCAGAGCCATCTGTTAGGGAGGCTGTATTTGCATCCTGCACTGTACATCTTGATTGAGCTGGGGTTGGACTGAATGGATATGAAGGCACCTTCCCATCCTCTTAATTTAATGATTCTAAAATATGAACGTTGTGTCCATGATGCTTTGTTTCATGATGTGTGCTTGAGACATTATCATTTGAGGCTTGAGGTACTTGTGGAATTCCATCTGCCATAGCAGGTAGCAAGAATTGCATGTGGTGTGTATTAGCTCTGGACCATAGCATTCCTGTTCTGCATTGGAAGCCTGACAGCACATAAGAGAAGGATGGTGTGAGAATATATCTGTTTTTGTTCAAAACCATACTGTCTTATAGTGGGAGTACTTGTATACGTATGTTTAAAAGTTTGCCACGTGGAGAGAAGAAGACTGAAGGTAGTGCAAAGATGCAGAAATTCTGTAATTTGCTTTTGGACTCTGAAGTTTGGAGATCATAGTTGTGTTGACAAGTGTCTCATGTCCCTCTCTTTTTTTCTAGGTGAATGAAGTGCGTTATGCTACTTCAGACATGAGTCCTGTGGGCACTTCAAGTGTCTCCCAATACGCATGTCAAAGGAGGACAACCTTAAATAATTATAACCAAAAATTCACGGTAATGCACACAGTTTTATTCTCAATCTAGATTTTCAAGGTAAAATACAGGGACTTTCAGATACAGGTTAAAGACCATAGGTGGATTGTTAGTATAGCTGTCAGGAAGCAGCAACCATGAAAAGGATAAAGCACCAATGACCATCCTTTGTAACTAAAAATGTTGGAGGCACTTGTACACATTGCTGGACATCATGTATGCATAGCTACAAGGTTTTTCCCTACTTGATCAGCAACCTATTGAGGAAAAGGTATGCTGATTAGAGGGAAAGATCCATGCAGTTTGAGACCATAATTCTCTCACTGCTTCTAAGGAGACTGAGACAATAACCTAATTAAATGCTTTATTTAAGTCAATGCTGGCCAATCATACTGGCATAAAAGTAGAAATGAAATATATTCAGAAATCTGTAACAAAAGAAACAAGCATAGTCAGAATACTATCTATTCAGGATGTGTGATTTAGCAGTAAAAAGTTGATTCCAAACTGATTCTTCACTTTCAAACTCAAAGTACCCACACATGACTTCAAGTGGATCCTTCTGCCTCCGGGCCAGCTGCTTGACATGCCTGACACTTCTCATCGTTCTGTCCACTTTAGGTAATACTGGACCATGGGATTAGGGATGACAGATCCAACTTCCCCCTCAATAGCAGAGTCACTTTTCCTACCCATGAAGTCTGAAGCTGAGCGACTCTCAGTTACAACCTGGCTTATCTGTGGGTCCATTGGCTTTGGCATCCCAGCTGCAGATCCTAACCCCTCCTCCTCATCCGAGTCAGAATGTATTCCCCCATTCCCAAGAAGGCCCAATTCCTACACCCTTGGCATTTACCTTAAGGTCCCCAGTGTAAAGCCTATGAGCCTTTACAAAACCTTTATAATTACCCATTTAAAATATATGCATTATTTTATGAAAATGATTATATATGGAAAATGCAAACCATTTTCCAACATTTATACATAGCGTTCAAGAGAAGCAGACTGAACATCAAATAAGTATCCATTTGAAGGTGGCATCTACAAGTCACCTGTTCAAATATTGAGTGGGTGTAAGGACCTTAATCCATTGTATTACAAGAGGTGAGTGTTTAGTCTCCCAGTGTTGCCATAGCAGTCTTTTAACTATCACAAGGTCACATTCATAATAACTATTTGTTAATTTCCATAAAGCAGGGAAATAATTTAAAAGAAAGTGTACATTAGTAAATATTCAAGATTATTCCAGTGCAAGCTTTATCTGTGTAACCTTCTCTTGCAAAAAAGCGAGTACTGAACAGTGCCAACAGTTAGGTTTAAAATAAGTATTGTACACCAGCTGGTTAGCTGAATTAGACAAACCCTTATTAAAGAGATGTGGAATGTCCATCAGATAACAAAGTAAACATTTTTGCTCAGTAGGATGCAGTCTAAGATCCACAGATGTGATACACAGCTGCGAAAGTGGCAATCCACTGATTAGGAATTTCATGGGGGTTTTTACACCAGTTTTTCAAATTCCTAGAAAGGTTGAGAACTCCTGGATTATTTATTTTACACATCATCTCAGCATCATAGAGTCATGCTGTGTAGGGAATGAGAGAGAGAGCACTTGAACAACTTAGTTTCTCTACCAAATAAACTTGACTTGTAAACTGGTATTTCTGTAACAATAAAGATCCCTTTTTGGATCTGAAGACTAATGAATATAATAATGTTGACTATCATGTGGTTGTAGAATCCTAGAGGGCCTTGTAGGTCATTTAGTTCAACCCCGTTTAATGAGATACCAAACAGATCCACAGGAAAAAGTACAAATGTGCACATGCTAATTTACATAAATTATACCACCTTGCTGTCACTAGCTGCAGCCCTAGTGGACCACTCCTAAACACCATCTCTGCATGGCAATAGAGCATGGGTCCTCAAACTTTGGCCTGCAGGCCGGATCCTGCCTGCCATGCCCATTTTTCTGGCCTGCCTCAGCGGTTCTGGAGTTGCCACGTGCGCACCCCACCCCTGCTCCCTCCCTGGCCCACGAATGCCACCAGCACCACCTTTCCGGCCCGCGCCCAGCATCGGCACCTTTCAACTGGCCCCCTGGTGAAAAAGTTTGAGGCCCATCTCCAGCCAAAACCAGCTGCCCCAGTTACCATACATAGTTAATTCATACGATCAGTATTTTGCAATGATTAGCTGTAGAAAACCATCATGCAGAAAACATGCTGTTGCTTTTGTACATGGTTATCTTAACCTACACATCTGGTGTCAAAACAACTGGCTCCAGGCTTATCTTTACATATTCTGACCTTCCTGACAGGTTTATTTTGTATTTTGGACTCTCTTATGTCTCTCTGATAGAACCCTAAGTAATTGATCATGTTGTTTGGTCACCAGGAAAGATTTGTATTCTTCAGACATGAGGCCCCGATTAGTGTTTTAGGCTGCAACAGCACTTCATGCAGCTCACTCCAGGTGTGAGGGGCTCAGGACAAACTACCTTTTGGGAGAGTGCCTATTGGACCCAGCGGGCAGTAAAGTACAATAAAAGAGAAAGCCCATCCATAGTGGACAGATATGGGAACTTTTCAGGGCTCTTATGGGTTTAAATTAAAAAAGGAAGCTGTGTTAGGAAGGCATCTGATGATTCACAATCATAATAGTAAAGTCCACAAAAATAATACATGCATTAGTCCTTTGTCAGTTTGAATCAAAAGTTTAATTTTGACTGAAACCTCCCCTCCAAGTAATTGAGAGTTTTTCTGTGCATGGCTGTTAACTGACTATATCCGCTTTCAGTTTTACCACAGGACTGGAACAAGAGTGTTTCTTTTCCTGTTTCTCTACCATATGACCTCTAGAAAACACTGTGGTATACCAGAGTAGCAAGAATACACAAGAGGAAATTATGCTTTCTTACACTTCCATAAGTAAATACTACATTTTTAAAGCTCTTTTAAAACAACAACAACCTACTCACTGAAAGAGATAGCTAGACACAGAATCAAACCTTAGGTCAAGATGTCACCATCATTATCGTTACTACAACTACTACAACTACATTTCTATACTGCCTGTTGCTAAAGCTCTCTGGGCAGTTCATAACATTTAAGTTCAGCCAGCTCAACCCTGCTTAGCTTCTAAGATTAGGCACGTCACTCTGTATGGAAGCTAAAGAACTGTATCCAGGAAGTACATGAACCCTAAAGCCTGTCCCTAAAGAATCAGAAACTGAATTGACCTCGGACAATTAAGAGTGGCTATTCATTCAATAGGCGGTTAGGGGGCTAGATACATAGATATGGATATATAGCAATAGCCCCCTTCTCTGTAGGGATGTACACCTCTATACACACAGCTCTGTTCTGTTGTTCCAGTGAATGAGCATATGTCAGGGCTGTGACCATGTTGCCACCCCATGCATGTTCATTCCACATGCACAGAAGCATCTAAAATGAGCTTGGGTCTACATTATAAACAGGTTTAGAAGTAATTGGAAACTGCAGCTTGGTGGGGGAGACTAGAGATCTCTAATAGGTCATTCTTACCATGCCTGCAAATGACAATTTGCACAGTTCTTTGAGAGAAGCTGCAGCAAGGCAAATTGGAATAAAAACCAAATAAATTCAAGAAGTAGGTGTATGCCCTAACATGACCAGTAATTTGTACTGAGGCCATCAAAACTCTTTCAGTGAAGAAAAAATGCAAGAACTGTACTTGTGATGAGGATGTTCAGCATACTAATCATTTTAAGTTAGATCTTCTGCCCTACTGTTTTTATCTGGGGCTGGTACCTTTGGCTGCAATTTATATGCTTAGAACAAAGATGTTCCATAAGATTATTTTCTGCACAAATACAGAGTGGCAATGAGGCATCAGTATAATTTACTTATACAAGCTGTGGGCAACCAACCATTAAATGATGCATTGTCTCTGGCTGAATGCCATGTAGCCTGCAAATTAGGTCCAAACCAGCTTGAATTATGTGTTGGTGTTAGCATCTTGTTAAAACCACTTTATGTTAAGATATAAATATAGTCTTTTCTTTTCTTGTTTTTCCTTTTTTTTAGCTTTTTATGTTAGCACTCTAGTCTGTGTTGGGTCATACGAGGATTTTTCACTTAGAAGTGACCTGTGGGACTTTGAAATCCCATGTTTGAGCTCCCTTATAGAAAAGGAACTGCTTTATAAAGGCAATTAAATGTGACATTTCCCATACTGTCAAGTCAGGCAAGAAAACAGATGCTTTCTTAAAACAGCTTTCTTCTGGTGTAACAAGGCTTAAGAAGCCTTTTCTTACAAGTCATGATTTTTGACAAGGACTTCTGCTAGCTTTTGTCCCAAATTGTGACAACATACATTTCACATTTGAAAGGATCTTTAATTGTGTTGTGGCCTTTTTAAGACACATCATTTGAGATTCTGTTGCTTTAGCTCATGCCTCAACTTGGACAGATCTGGTTTTACCTCTGATACCTTACAAATGCTGAAGCCTTCTGCATTATGGACTGATTACTATTACAGTACTGTACTATGTCAAGACAGAGCAAATAGAGAAAGGACTGTATAGATTTGACTAGGGCTGTTTCTCAGCTGCTTTGCCCACCTTGAAAGTGGCTGCTCTGCTTTGTCTGTATGTCAGGTGTGAGGGAGCAGCCACCATCCCAGGAAGCCCGGTTTCAGGCTGTTTCTTGTATGTTAGGAAAATTTAGATTTCCTGAACTTTGGGAAATTTAAAGTGGTTGAAACCACAAAAAAAGCTTTCTCCTTTGTTGCATTGTGGGACTACACTTCTCGTGGACAGCAGTCACACAGAGGAGAGTTGCTGAATATCTACAGAGAAAAAACATTGCTACAATGAGGGAGTATTAGATATATGGGTAACTGTGCATGCATAGGATCACCAAGGGATGAATTTTATTCCACATGAGGGAATTTTCCTTAGAAGAATCCCCCCCCCCCTTTCTCTCTCTCTCCACAAAGCAAGATATGCACAGGCTGGCTCCTCTCCTGTCATGCTG